TCAGGAATCATTAATGATTCATCAATCTGCATAACTTCATCCATATCCTGCAGTTTCTTGATTCCCTGAGCCTCCAGGATCTGCATGGTCTCAGTAACCTCATCGGTGCCGGAAATCCCTTGGCTCTCGAGAGTTGTCTTATCACCAGGAGTACCTAGGACCTTTGAAGCCATCTCAGCATCAACACTTATCTCACCCGTCTCAGTCTCAGGGATGCAGCCCTCCTTTTCAGGATTTACCTCAAGCAAAGAACCTTGACTTGTGTTCAGAACACCCTCGACTTCTGGAGACTCCTCAGGGTTGAGATTGGGAGCCCCCATAGTGTCAGCACTCTCCTCAGGTGCAGAACTTCCTTTCAAAGAGATTACCTCTTCTTCAGGATTGTCTTCTTCCTCTGTATCCTCATTAGTAGTTTGACCAGCCAGAATTTCATTTAGTAGCTAAAAATGAAAATAGGTACGACCATTTTTTATATCTCCCCTTCAAAACAAGTTTAAATTTCAGCTTTATGTCGATGTTTTCAAAAGTAGAAATGGAAGCAAGGTTTAACCGCATCTTTGCCTTAAAATGTATGCATCATTTGCAGACAGTGAAAATAGAATTAAAATACAAACGAAAAAAACTCGCAAACAGTAACTGAACTTCTAGCAATCAGACTAAGTCCATTTTTGGTCGTTTTAAAAGACTCGCGTGTAACTCCTAATTTGCTGTAAGATTTCTTGGAGGGAAGTTTGGAATACTGTCAAATCTCAAAGTAACAGCAAGATAATTTCTCAAAAAATAGAGAGCCGGATTTCTATGTAGCTTCACTTTTTCTAAATTTTACGCTTGAGTGGAAAGGTCTGGGAATTGGGGAATTGACTTCACGTCCACTCAGCGCAAATGCCCGTTTTACTATAACTATGAGAAGAAAGCAGAAAAGTATGAAAACACATGCAACAATATGGGAAGTCCAAATAGTCAGAGCATTCATTACACGAATATTGAACAACGATGCCAGAAAAAATTATGTCACAGGTAAATGGGGAAATAAATATAATGGTGATAAGCACAGCACAAATACATTGTAATTTCACTCACCGATCGTCGATTCCGCATTGATAGTGTTTGAGAGGATTTTTTCCAAATGGTTGGAAACGTCCCCTTCTTCAAATTCCTTTTCATGCCTTTCATCGGAAAAGCAAGCGTAAAACAATCCCTTGTAAAATGCTCCGAGCACACAGCAAATTTTCCCACTGTGTTGAAATCCTTCCGATGAATGGACACGAACCTTTTCCACTTTAATCTAACGCTGCCCGAATCAGGAGAATTCATCGTTCTTTACGTTTCCATAGTCCTGAACAACACAACGTCTACCAGGCATACTTTCGCTTTAAGTCAAAAAAGCGAAGAAAGAACCTCCAAAAGCTTCCAAAAATATCTCGTCCTGCATGCGAAATTAGCCTCGTTTGTTTACCTTGTTTTGTCGCGTTGATTTTTCTACGTCACATCTCGCCCCAACTTCTTCAAATACTACTCCCGGTCATTTTTTGAATCGAGTAATGGCGGCAAGACATTTACGAAAATTGCCGTGCAAATAAACACACTTCCAGATCATATTTGGACTCCAAACTTGGCACGGTAAGTCACTTTTACATACATTTTCGAAATATGTAAGAAAAAACAAATTCCCAAATTTGATCGTAGTAGCACTTTAAATTTCTAAGCTTTTGCGTGAGGCGGCATTTACATGACGTCCAAGAGAGCTGTCATGTAGGTTACAAAAATGACTTATTTCAGGAAATTTTGCTATCTAAAGAGTTGTCTGTGTTGCTGCAGATTAAGTAGATACAGTCTAACCTCTCCTCACGGACACCTCTATAATACGGACAGTTCGTTTGGTCCCAGAAAAGCCAAAATCATACATTCATGAATAAGCTTTCGCAAAGCCGACTACTCCCGTAAAAGAATCGCTAGCTGTCAACGAAACGATCTGTTGAATACCCTTAGAACTCGGATCTGACTGATCTGACTGCGTGCGACGGCTAAACAGTTTCTCTCAATACATAAAAAAGCGTTGTCAAATAGCAAAAGAAATCAGCAGAACACTTGTTTTTGTTTCATCGTTACGTTTCAGTTTCGTTGAACCGGTCAAAGCAGCTCATATTAAAGACGCGCTCTTTTACTCGATTGGTTTGTGCACTCCATGCATCGGTTCCTATTTGTAAGACGATGGAAGTGAAGTAAATGCAAGAGAGAATAATTATTTTCCCCAGGTATGACATTTCTTTTGGAAATCCTGAGTCGGTTAACATGTAAAAACATTGAGGAAACATTGTATAAGATAATTATTCAAATTTAGATCCGTTTCAAAACATTAATATGGAGGCGGGAGTTTCAAACCAAGTCGGGCGTGTCCTCGGGCTTTACGAAGGTAAACGAACAGGTCGGAGTACTTTCAGAAATTGACGAAAAGCCAGAACTTCCACACAACGTAATCGTACCAAACTTTCATAGAGTCTTCCTGAATAGCCAGAATAACATATCCATATGCTGACACATGAATAAAGTGACCTTGCGAACAAATATTTAGACTCAAACGTGACCTCCCACGCAAAAAAGTCACTGTGGCCGATTTTCAAAGCGTAAAAGCCAGAACTTCTACAAGGACCACAAAGTCAGCAGTGGTTTTTTATGTTTTACTGACGTCTCTTCTACAAAATCCATATGCTAATACTAATAATTAGTATACAGTTAGAGCGAAAACGTGAAAATCGTGAACCACTCTGAACAGTTTTGGCCACTTTTTCTTTGTTTCGGAGTGCGCTAAAGTTCGGCCGGAACTAACATTGAAGTACAATTTTCAATACCAGGTACCGCGGAGCAGGGTTTAGACAGGGGATGATTGAGTCGAGACACGAACATGCAAATTGGAATTTACGGTTCTTCCGAACTGGCTGCATCAAAAATTGGCTCATCCTCGTTGTGAGAACCTGTAATACCCACGAGCGATGCAAAAGGAAGGTAACATCGGATTCAACACAAAATAGTTAAAAATAATAATAA